CAGAACACATCAGTGACCACACTCATGCCCACAACCTACATGATAAAGAGCCTATCTATGCTCTTTAGTCTGGTTTAAAAAGTCCTGTACGATCTGGTTCCCACCCTGCCCCAAATGCCCAATAATTGAGCACTTACTACATGCAGACACCCTGTGGGTCTTGGGGAACCAAAAATGAACAATGCAGGCAAATGTTTGCTTCCTGCAGCTGATATTCTCGAGCAGTGCACATCAACCATTTTTTTGTGTAGGGCTCCTAAGGAAAAAAATGAAATTATATTTAGTTTGAATGGGTTAAAAATGGGTTAATTAGTTTCAATCTAATTACACATAATTTCTCCCTAACGATAGAAAGTAAGTGCTTAGGAATAATATTTTGTCCTGGAGGTTTGGTTTTGGAGGGCCATAAGCTATCGTAACGTCTAAAGTGTTTTTGACCCCAGAATGAATTTTACCTCTCCCACGAAGAAAGCAGGAGAGCCGATCCGGACCATAAGCGAGTGAATGGAAGAGATTATATCGGAGAGCCATGAATGTTATAGAGGAAAGAAAGGAAAGTTGAAGGGTCACTTGACATCTTGATCAGCCGAATCAGGAAAGTTCTTTCTCCCCTGCCACTGCCCAGAGCCTCAGCCATCGCTGGAGGTTACTACAGCCAGTTCCGTGTCCTTGCCACAGCTCTCTCCAGGGCACTTGATTTCTTCAGTTGTAAAATGACAATGATAATTTCCTCCTCACAGTGCCTGTCACACACTAAGCTGTCAATGAGTGAGCTTTATTGTTACTGTTTTTGAAAAAAAAAAATTTCACAAAGATACATGGGATGAGCCTCCGCTCTGCTGCCTCACACGACCGCCGTCTCCACCTCCGTACACCAGGGGCGCTGTGGGCGCTGCGGCTGGGCCGCTCTAGGCGGCGGCACCATACGTCTCGTTCTCCAACTTCCGGTCTCTGCTCCAGGCCCGGGCTGCGTGGAGAAGGCTTTGCAATGCCTGCCGGCGATTTGGAGTGAGTCGCGGGTCGCGGAGGGGGTCCGGGAGGCGGTTTGGGAGCCCATAGGTGCTTTAGAGAGTCCGGGTGCGCCGAGGCCGCGGGGACCGGCCCTTGCTGATCCAGCCCTACCCCCGCCAAACTTGTGCCCGCAGTTCCAAGCCCAGCTGGGCCGACCAGGTGGAAGAGGAGGGAGAGGATGGTGAGTACGCCCAGTAGCCCCGGTCACTGCGGGCAGCCGGCCTTTGCCGCCCGTTCCAAGCCCACACCTGGCGCCAACGTGGGACACCCCCGTGTGAACATTCCCTGTGTTCACTGGCCGCCGGGCTCTTTCTCCCCTGCCACTGCCGAGAGCCTCAGCCGTCGCTCGAGGTTACTACAGCCAGTTCCGTGTCCTTGTACGGCTCTCTCCAGGGCACTTCTTGGCCAGTACCCAGCCCTTGGTCCCTTCTTCCTCAACGCCTGCTGTGGGCATTATCCCAAAGGTCTCTTGGCTTCAGCTTGGGGGCCCCCGCCCCTCCAGCTCACTCTTCTTCCCCACACTGTCTCTGGCAGACAAATGTGTCACCAGCGAGCTCCTCAAGGGGATTCCTCTGGCCACTGGTGACACCAGCCCGGAGCCCGAGCTACTGCCAGGAGGTGAGTGATGACGACCTCCACTCCATTGTAGGCTGCTTCCCTCCCCAGCCGCATACCTGCCTGCTCCCCATTACCCAGGGTTCAGCCCCCCTCACCTCTTTACCTGTCCCAGCTCCTCTGCCACCTCCCAAGGAGGTCATCAATGGCAACATCAAGATAGTCACGGAGTACAAGATAGATGAGGATGGCAAAAAGTTCAAGGTGAGGCAGGGGGAGGAGGTGGGTGCTCTTGTGCTTGAGGGTACTTGAGCCGGGAGGGGATGGTACACATTTGTGTACATTGGGTGGGTTGATGAGGAAGATCCCCCGGCCCCTCCCTTCACCCTCCCATCCTCAGATTGTCCGCACCTTCAGAATTGAGACCCGGAAGGCTTCAAAGGCTGTTGCAAGGAGGAAGGTGAGACCCTGCTCCCTCAGTCTTGGGGGGTCAGGGGGTTCCCCCCGGGCTGACTCAAGGGAACGAACTATGAATCCTTTTTCCTGGTGCTTTTTTTTTAGAAGTAGGTTTTAACTGTTTGTGCCTGTTTTCTTGGAGCAGAACTGTGGCCTGGGGGTGTTCACACACTCTTGGGGCCCTGAGAAGTCCAGGGGGGCAGAAGTAGGTGGGGTTAGAGTCTTATTCTTCTTGGCTTGTGTACCCAGAGGAACAGGCAAATCCTCCCCTGAGGTCATGGCGGCTCTGGTTCACCTGGGCCAAACACTATGGAGAAAGGCATAGCAGTAAATGTAATTGGCATAATTTCTGCTCACTGTCTCTGTGCCAGGCCTCATGCCAAGTGCTTTGCAGGAAGTGTTTTTTCTCATTTGATCCCCCTTGCAGCCCAGACTGGTGGGGAGCCCTTGTGGTCCTCTTTTTATGGGAGAAGAAGCTGAGGCTTAGATTGTTTGGCTCAAGGCCCCTCACAGTCTGGGTGACCCCTGCCCTCTCTTGAGCATGGCTCTCTGGTGGGATCTGGTCCACCAACCTGCATGGGCGCTGCATCCCCCCCCCTCAAAAAAAAACCGACCAAGATACAGTAACTCTGCAGCTGTTTCCTGCTGGGCCTCATCTGGAACAGGCTGGGAGCTGCCTCCTGGAGCGAGCCTGAAGCTCGGGCCTGCATGCACTCAGGAAATAGGAACCATCTTTGGCACTGCTGTGCAGGGTATTTGGGGAGAGCAAAGAATGGAGTTCAGGGCCCAGACATTCCAAAAGGGGCTATTGTAGGTCTAGGGTGCCAGTGAGGGGTGCATGCCACCTGCCCTTGCCCTGACCTGTTGCCCATTCCTCCCTGAGCCCAGAACTGGAAGAAGTTTGGGAACTCAGAGTTTGACCCACCAGGGCCCAATGTGGCCACCACCACTGTCAGTGACGACGTATCCATGACATTCATAACCAGCAAAGAGGTAAGTGGGGCGGCAGGGTGGGGCTGGTGGCCAGGACAGTGGTGGCCATGGTGTGACAGCCCCCTTGAGCTGCCCCTGCCCGCCCCCCAGGATCTCAACTGCCAGGAAGAGGAAGACCCCATGAATAAGCTCAAGGGCCAGAAGATTGTGTCCTGCCGCATCTGCAAGGGTGACCACTGGACCACCCGCTGCCCCTACAAGGACACGCTGGGACCCATGCAGAAGGAGCTGGCAGAGCAGCTGGGCCTGTCCACTGGCGAGAAGGAGAAGCTGCCCGGAGGTGCCAGGGTCGCATCTGGCCGGCCATGGGGGTGGAGGGATTGTGTGCACCTCTGGGGGATCCTTCAGTCATCACCCGTCTGAATGGGCTGTCCCTGTGGCAGCTGGCCATTGCCGCACAGCAGCACCTCCAGGCTGTGGCCCCGGTTCGCCGCCTCTCCTGGTTGGGGCTGTGAGAACCACCCCTATTCGTGCCCGTGTGGGAGACTTGCTAGCTCTGGTTTGGCTGTGCTTCCATGACTGTCCTGACTTGAATGTGCCAGGCATGGTTGCCCCCCTATGTGCACTTTGGTGTGTACGTGCACACGGCTCTGAGCAGACTCCCGTGTGACCCCACGGTCTGTGACCTTTGGTGTGATTTGCTGTTGGGCCATTTGAGTCTGGACAGTTCTACACCCATGACTTGAGTGTGTAGCACACTTGCTACCTGCCATGTGTGTGGGTGTGTCTGTGTCACTCCTGGGACTCCCTGGCCTGGGTGTTCCTCTAGCTCTCGGTCCCATGGCACTCGGACCAGGTCAACCCCTGTGGGTTCTCTACCTGGGCTGCTGGTGTCCTGGCTGTGATGCTTCTGTCGTCATGGCCACCATGTTTCAGATGGGCAAGTGACCACAGATGCCTGAGGCTTAAGCAGACAGTGCTCAGGTCCAGGCTTGGGTCACCAGCCTCCCGGGGCAGGTCTACCCCTCTGTCTATACCAGGGTGAGGCCTGCTCCAACTGTGCTTTTGGTCCCCAGAGCTGGAGCCTGTGCAGGCCACCCAGAGCAAGACGGGGAAGTACGTGCCACCAAGCCTGCGCGACGGGGCCAGCCGCCGTGGGGAGTCCATGCAGCCCAACCGCCGAGGTGAGGCAGGTGCTGAGCAGGCTGGTGGGCGGGCAGCTCCCAGCACCCTGTGATTATCCCGCGGGCGGGGCCGGCCCTCAGCTGCCTCTCCCTGCCTGACCAGCCGACGACAACGCCACCATCCGCGTCACCAACCTGTCAGAGGACACTCGTGAGACTGACCTGCAGGAGCTCTTCCGGCCCTTCGGCTCCATCTCCCGCATCTACCTGGCAAAGGACAAGACCACTGGCCAGTCCAAGGTGGGCGGGCGGCCCTGGGGTGGGGGAGGCGTGCCCTATTCTTGCCATGCCCTGACACCTGTCTCCTGTCCCCCAGGGCTTTGCCTTCATCAGCTTCCACCGCCGTGAGGACGCCGCCCGGGCCATTGCCGGGGTGTCTGGCTTTGGCTATGACCACCTCATTCTCAACGTTGAGTGGGCCAAGTAAGACCCCTGCCCTCCCCACCCCAGGCTTGGTGCCCCATCTCGGCCAGCACTCAGACTGGCTGTGGGCCCCGCACCGGGTTCACAGACTCAAGCCTCTTGAGCGGTACAGGCCATTCATGGTCCTTTAGTCCTGGGGAGGGGCCCACAGCCCACCCAGCAGGGCTTGGGTAGTCCTGCTGGCGCTGCCCCAGACTCTCCACCCCATGAGGCCCCACGCGTGTGTGGTGAGGGGGTCTTGGGATTGCCCCAGGGGCTTGCCATCCTCACCACCTCCTGCCTCCCTCTCTAGGCCGTCGACCAACTAAGCCAGCTGCCACTTCTGCTGCTGCTCAGCCCTTCCACCAAGACCCCGCAGGGACAGAGGGACAGCCTCCGAGGACGGAAGGCCCCAAGGGCAATAAACAAACTCCAGTCGCCCTCTGCTGTCCTGTTTATTTTCAGGGGCCACCAGCCCCCGCCCCAGTTGTGGGTCTGCCTCCAGGCCCGGTGCAGCACCGGGTTCTATGGGAGGGGTGTCCTGCTGCTCTGACCTGGGTGCTCACCGGCCCCAGCACAGGCCTTTCTCAGGGGGAGGAAGTGGCGGCTCAGGGCCTGGTGCTGGCTTGGGGCCACGAGCCCGCTGTGTTCTTGGTCCCTTTTCCACTGCCGGGTTTTTGTGGTCAGGAGGCAGCAGCCCAAGATAGGCCAGTCACAGGCTTAGCTCAGGGGACTGGCGCCCTGTGGTTTGGGGGGGTGGCTGTGATACTGAGCGGCAGGACTTGGCTGGAGCTCTTTGTGTCCTCCGTGGCCCAGGCCTCCCTGCAGCCAAGGCAGCATTGGCGGCAGCCCCCCAGGCTGGGCACCACAGCCATGTAGAGCAGTGGGTGAATGCAGATGGCCAGGGGCATGAGGCCCCGCATTACCTGGTGGGCCACGTAGATGCCCCAATCCAGCTGGGCCTGGGCCTGGGCCACGTCCACAAAGCTGGGGCAGTTGGCTTTCCAGCGCTGCCGGGCGTGCACATTGAGAACCCACGTAACATAGTAGGGCACGTAGGAGCTGGCGTAGAGAACCACACCACTGGCCACCAGCACGGCCACATGCAGCTTCTCAGTGGCTGTCATGCCATGGCTGCGCAGCACAGCCATGCCGAGGGCGCCGTAAGCTGCCAGGGTGAGCAGCAGCGGTAGGCTGCAGCCCAGCGCCACCAGCACCAGGCTGTAAGCTCGGTAGGCGGGGAGCTGGGTATCATCTGCTGCCCCCAGACACCTGATGCAGGCTTCAGGCATGGAGTTGCTGCACTTGCCCTCCTGGTGTGGCCTCTTCAGGTGGGAAAAGCCGAGCGTGGGTGCAGCCAGCAGGGCCGCCAGCACCCAGCCCACAGCGCTGCTGGCCCAGGCGTGTTTGGGCTGCAGGTGGCTGCGGGTAAAGAAGGGGTGGACAATGCCCAGGTAGCGGTTGAGGCTGATGCAAGTGACAAAAAAGACACTGCCCAGCAGGTTGAAGGTGAACAGGAAACGCTCCAGGCGACACGCAGCCTCGCCATAGCGCCAGTGTTTGGGTGGGTAGAGGTAGGCAGCCAGCGGGGGCAGTGTCAAGGCATAGAACAGATCGCTGACAGCCAGCTGGGCTGAGAAGACCACGGCCGGGTGCCACGGGCGCTGCTCCCGTGTGAAAAAGCGGTATAGGGCCAGGCTGTTGCCGGCCATGGCCACCAGGAACTCGGCCGCCAGCATGGGCCACAGGTAGTCTTCCTGGAAACGACTGAGGATGCGGTCGGCGGCTGCTGTGAAGTTGGCTGGGCAGGTCCTGGCACCTATAGGCAGAGGGTGTCACCGCATGAGCCCTGCTCCAGTCCTCGCCGCGCCAGTCCTGGCTCCTTTTCAAGCGGAATCTGGCCCGAAAGCCTGTGGAGGCCTTCCTTGGGATGATGATTCCCAGGCTCTCTTTGGGCCCTCCACCCTCAGGAACCAGGGGGTCGTTGCCTTCGCGAGGGTGCACGTGACCCAGCAGTGCCGACCTGGAGCCATCAGGCCTGGGGCGGAGTGGAGCACACGGTGGTCCCATCCGATCCATGAGCAAGCCTTGCTGCTCCACCTTTGGGGTCTTCCCCACCCCCACATCCCAGTGCCGCCGTCTGAGTGGACCAGAGCTCAGTCTCCTGCCCTGGCCTGGGTCTCTCTGCTTGTGCCCTCACCCTTCTGGGGGGCATCAAGGTCAAGGAACATCTTCCTGCTCCCAGCCCTCAGACTCCCTCCAAAAGCCAGTACTTGTCCCCTGAGGCCCCACAGGAGGGAGCCCTCCCTCCCCACACTCTCCCGTCTCAGGCTCCCACTACTCACTACCAAAAACCCTTCCCACACTGGTTTCCTAGCTGAAAAGACAACCTGCCCCAGGGCCTTAGCACTGACCGTGCCCTTTGCCTGAGTCACTCCCCACTTCATCCTGAACCTGCCCCCTGGTTCTTGGTCTCTGGTCCTGAAAGGCCCTCTGACCACCCCACCATTGCAACTGCACCTCTTGGCCTCCTCCAGGCCCCTTTTCTACAAAGCCTGTACCTTCTTCCGATCACTAAGGGAAATCTCAGAACATCCCCTGGTGGCAGTTAGTGCCCTGCTACTGGCTTCCCTGGACACAGCAGTGTGGGGTGAACAGCCCTGGAGTTGATTCCCCTCAGTTCTCTTACCTGAGACAGAAATGGCCTGTTCCCAGTTGGTCCCCAGGCTGGCTTCTGTCTCCATCCCCTCCCCAACTCCAGGGCTCCGGAAGGAAGTCCCCGAGTAGTTGCTCTTAGCCCATTCTCCTCTGACTCCTGGGAGCCAGCTGCCCCACCTGGTCCTGGGCCAGGCAGTAGGGACCAAGGCCCTGGACACATGCCCAGCTCGCCCCACGGGGCAGCACTAACCACTCACCTGTGGTGGCCGCAGCAGCAGCAGCCATGGCCCACATGCCCTCCGTCTAGGTCCACTGCCCACACTGCTGTGCTCCAGGCCTCCACCCGGCAGTGCAGAGGCCCCACCCTCCGTAGCAGCTCCGCCCTCAGCCCGCAAAACTGGTCTGGCTGCCTGGCTCACTTCCAGCCCTGGTTTCCTTCCTCATTGCCCCTGGCCCTCCAGGGTTGGCCTTTCACCTTTGCAGGCTCCAAATCTGGGGGAAGGGTCCGGGCCCCTCAGGCACCAGTCAGATCTGCTGTGGGCCCTCACTTACCCAGGGTGGGAAAATACCCCCAGGATGAGGGCTGAAACAGGGGCCAGTTCTCCCATTCTAAGTCTGGGTCCCAGGCTCCCCCAATCCAAATGCAGACTCAGAGGGAATCAGTTATTTTATTAAGAGTGGGAGGTTGGGGGAAAGAGCTCCTTTATGAAAGGAAACAGGGCTGCATGGGGGTGCCCAGGGGCCAGGGCAGCACCTCTCTGGCCCCAATCTGGGGCATACCGTCCACCTGGGCTTGCCCTCAGATCGCTCTCTTAGGTGGCCGTGCGCGGCCCCGCCCACGATCCTGGGCAGCCCATTTGGGTCCAGCCTTGGCCTGGGCACCCTGGGGCCTGCCCTTGCCTTTTGGCGGCCTCTGATTGCTGCCTCGGCCTAGCTTCTGCTCCTTCGCCCGCCGCTTCTTTCCTGGGGGCCCGGTGGGCCATCTCCGCCTGGCTGCCTTTGGGAACATGTCTGTAGGAAGAGGCTGAGTCAGGGCCACCAAGGCACAGACAGGCCCATAGCGCCCAGCTGCAATGACCCCAGACACACACCCTCATCAGGCTCTTCGCCCACCGCCTGGCGGAAATACTCGGCTTCATCCTCCTCCTCGTCCTGCTGGCTGGGCCCCTCTGCCTCTGGGGGAGCCCCAGGGTCTTCGGCATCGCTGTCCCCATCAGCTGCTGCGTGAACTCGCTTCATGCCCGCCAGGCTCTTCTTTCTGGAGATGAGGAGCGTTGGTCAAGAGGCAGCCTGCACCCAGGACCCTGCCTCACCCACCTGGCCCACAGCCACACACTTATGGGTCTCTCGCTGCTCCTGCTTGCGCTGGATGTTCTGGGCCTGCTGGTCCTGCCTCTGGGCCTTGAGTCTCAGCCTCTCCTCCTTGGCTGCCAGGATGGCCTGCAGCTCTTCTTCCGTCTTATGCACTGAGAGAGACAGTCACTAAGATCCCAAGCATGCCCACCACACCTCATGACCCACCTTCAAGGGCCTCAGACCCCAGGCCCTTGCCCGCCACCTGTGTCCTCACCAAAACTGTGGAACAGCACATTTCCCTCCCCAACTCCCTCCTGAATCTTGATGAGCTGCAGCGTCATTCGGGGCCCGATCTGGAGGGACACAGGGAAGAGTCAGTCCTACCTAGGGGCTGGGGCTGCCAGAGGAAGCCACCCCTGCCTGCTGGGCCTCACCTCAGTGAGCCTCACGGCACTCTGCTGGGACCGCATGTTGCCGCGCCCGGCGATGGCCTGCGGCAGCTCTGTAATATTATGCTCCCCGTCAGGCTCCGCCTCACTCTCAGACAGCCCCGCGCCCCTGTGCGGTGGACACACAGGGCTCAGCAGGGGATGCCAGGCTCCCGAGACAGCTCTGGGGTCCCCTGGGCTGTAGTGTCTCCTGCCCTGCCCCCCTTACGTGGCCAGCAGCTCGCTGATGTCCTGCAGGCGGCTCATGTTGGGGAACTTCTCCTGGAGGAGCTTCTTCATCCCTTGACTTGCACCCACAGGAACAACTTTGATGCTACTGCAGGGACCGAAGCGAGCAAGGGGGCGGTCAGGGGTCATGGGGTAGCTCCAGCCCTACCTTTTCACTAGTACGTCAAGGTGTTTACTTTGAGACTGAGCAGAGTCTCAGCAGTAGCCTTATCACCAGAAGCAAATGGAGGTGTGTGTTCCCTCCCCCATCGCCCCACACATACTAGTGGCGGAAATCCAGCTCCTGCGATTCGGGGTTGTAGCTGATGAGAAGGCAGCGCTTGATGGTGTTCAGGTTCACCTGAAGGAAGAGAAGGCAGGGCACCACGTGAGCTAACCATGGCCTAACTGCGTGCTGGAGCCAATGTCAAGCCAAGGGCACATTCCAGAAACCTCAAGCGAGGGGTGTGGGGTGCTGCTGGCACTGCAGGAATTGATATTGATGTTCACAGGCTGCCTGGGGCACTGGCCGGAAATCCTGGTTCTGAGACCCCCAGAAGCTGGCCGCACCAGATTCCCTGATGATGGGCATCTAACAAGCCTAATTTGACATCCAACGGGGCCAGGGCTTAAAAGCCAGATTAAAAAAAAAAAGAGTCCTGCTCTCTTGTGGCTACCTCAGACTAGTGGCTTCACCGGTTAGCTCCAGTGTCCTTCTCTATAAAATGGAGCCACAATACACACTACCCTTAGGCCAGCTCTCACAGCTCACTCTGGAAACAAAAAGCAGCTCTGGCATTGTGCCCCAACTGCCAGAAAGGAAGGCAGCTTATGGGGAAGCCTCTTCCCCAGTGTCACAGGACCTATCAGTGAAATCTGCCCTCAGGAGCCAAAGCTCTCAGCCTCAGTGGTAGAAGTTGAGAAAGGGGCACTCAACCCAAGGGCCTGGGTATGGGACCTGCTGCCCGCCACAGCCACCCTCCCTGCCATCATGCCAGGCCCGGCCCACCTTATGCACGTTGATGGAAGGGAACAGGTTCTGGAACATGGTGGCCATGAGTTTCACATGCATGCCATAGGGACCAAAGCTGTTGAGCACCAGGAGGGGTGGGTGGGCAAACTGCTGCTCATGCATACGGTGCCGGCGCAGTGAGGAGATCACATCACGTACCAACGTGTACTGCAGGGCAGGGTGTGGCATGGGTGATGGTAAGCCACATGTGGCTGGCATCATCCCCGAACCCAGCCCCTGTGCCTCATACCACTGTCAATCCTTACCTTGTTGATTCGGAAGGTTAAGGTAGGGCCTCCAGGGAGGCGTATCAGCTTCTACAGAAGAAAAGCTCCGTTAGGGTCAAGGTGTCCAGCTAGGGAGCAGGGATAATGGGAACCTCTGCCCTGTCTCTTCAGAGCGTTTACTTTGAAGCCAGAATCATGGCAGCTCAGAGGCACATGGGTTCATCATGAGACGAGGAGGAGGAGGGCATGGGGGAGAAAGGGGTGTGGGTGTCCACTTACAAAGTAGATGTTGGTCTCCGTTTTGCTCAAGATCAGGAAGTGTGTGACCCCAAGAGGCCCAGCCACTGCCACACAATCCTTTAGAGAGTTTTTTTTTCGTATCTAAAGATTACAAAAGGAAGAAAGGCCATAGGTATTCCCTTCTTGAACAAACACAAGCTGAACTATTAGACCCTACTCTAACCCTTCCGAGAACAGCTGATCAGACTTTATCTCGGATATCGCCCCATTCTGTTGAGGCAAATGAGGCTCCAGGTCTTTGAAAGAAACCAAGTTTCCAATCCAGCTTTGCTGACTCCAAGAGTCCTTCTTAACCACCAGCCTCGGCACCCACCCAACCAAGCCCCAAGCTGCTGCCCTCAAAAAGCCCTGACAAGCAAGGGCAATGGTTCCTTTCTCCAGTTCAGGGCGGGTGGAGGCGCCCGGGTGCTGCAGACCTGCAGGCGGGTGGCGGTGAGCGGCTCCATGACCCGCCGTAGGTCTAGGCTGAGCTGCCGGATGCCACGACCCGCGCGGCCCCGAGCGAACACGAACGAATGCGGCTGCGCGGCGTAGGCCTCGAGGTTGCGGAGCTGCGCCTGGGCGCGAGCGCGCTTCTGGTGCCGGGACTGCGGGGACGAAAGACGAGCGGTGAGCGCCGCGGCCTCCGCACGGAGCCCTCCCGCGCGGGGCTCCTCCCCGGTCGCCCCCGCCTCACCCGCCCGATCCGCCCCATGCCGTCTCCTCCACGAGGCCCCCTCTGCTGTCTGCTTCCGGCGCTCCGCTTCTCACTTCCGGCGCCGGCAAGGGGCTCACTGAGGCGCCGCGGACCGATGACGTCACCGGGAGGGCACGCGCACCAGATGATGGACGGAAACCTTGGAGGGGTTCCTATGGAGACGCCTGGTGCCTGTTTCTACGGAAACCGGGGCGGGGCAGCTTGGGCTTCAGGGACAAGAATCGAGGGTTCGAATCCCGTTTCGGCCTTTTTCCTCCACCTGGGAGATTTTGAGAGCCATTTTAGCCATTCCAAGGCCCTTAAGGAATCCTGCAGTGAGGATGGTAATCACGTTCCGCCTAACACGGGAATTAAAAGACGTGATGTGTGCACTGGTACCAGGCACTTTGGGAGCAACAGAGAAGGAGGTAGCACGTGGCACTTAGGCATTTGGGCCCCCAGCTCCTGAAGGCCAGCTGTCCTCTCCAGGAGCTCTCTTTGCGGCTGAGGGATGGAAACTCCACATCACCTTCTGGAAACTCAGGGCAAGACGGGCGCTTTGTGAATAATTCATCCCCTCCCTGTTTCCGCTCAAGACTCCAGTCTTGGCCTCAGGCCTCTGGCTTCTTCCCCAGAACCCTGGGGTTGGGGGAAGGGACCCTCCCAACATCTCTCTCTCTCTCTGCCATCTGCCTCTCCTTTCCCTTTTGCCCCGTCCCCCATCAGCTTCCCCACCCCAATTCTTCTCCTCCCCCTCGCTGTCTCCCCCTCCCCATAGCTGTCTTCTCCCTGTCCCTGTGCCTCTCCCCGACTGTCTCTGCCATCAGTTGTCTCTGTCATCACCAGAAGTTTCCCTCTTGCTCCTGTCTCTGTCCCCATTTCCCTCTTCTCTCTCTCCCTGACTCCCCATGTCTCTCCTCTTCTCTGTCTCTCCCTTCCATCAACCCCTCTCTGTGACTTAGGAGGTTTCTTCTCTCCCTGCTGCCAATGGGGGAGGCCAAGGGGGATGTGGGTGGGGGGCCGAGGGGCCCAGTGTGGGGGGCCCCGGCCCAGGCCTGGAGCCCAGCCTGGCAGCCTCTCTCAGATCTGGGACAACCATTTCCTCTTTCAGCCAGGGAGTCCATTCGGGTTACAAGCTCAGGACGGTAGATGCTGGGGGAAGGAGTCTGCTCCCCGAGACTGTGTCTGCTGATTGGCGAGGCCTTCCTACAGGCCGGAGACCCTAGGCCTGCCTCGGGGGCTCTATGTGAGTCTCTTGCTACCTCTGAGAAGTGACTGTGGCTACTTCTGCCTGTTTTGGGCCCTGCATGATCTGATGTGTGTGGATGTGAAGATATGACAGTTTGTGTGGGAGACGAATGGGAATGTGGGCGCTGTGGTGGGGGCTGGGTATCATGGTCTGGCTGTGTACCTGGGTGAGACACAGATACAGAGATATTCAGCCTTCTAGGTAATTTCCTTTAAGTCTTGGGGGGGCATGTGTGTGTGTGGCTGTATTTTGAACACACAATTGCTGCCCGAATCTGTTTCCAGTTGTGTCTTTGTATGTACGTGTGCCAGGGAAATCCGTGGATACACACACAGTCTGTCTTTGTGCCTCTCTGCAGTGGTTTGCATGTCTCATTGGGTATCCGTATGTGTGTCTTTGTGTCTGCACTGTTATTTGCACATGGGTGTGTTTGGTGTTGGGTATAGGTGTACGAATTCTACAGCCAAGCTGCCTGGGCTGAATGCCATTGCTAACCGTCTCTTGCTGTGTGACTGAGGGTAAGTTGTTCACCCTCTCAGAGCTCAGTTTTCTGTGCTGTAGAGTGAGGCTACATTCAGACACCAGCTCAAGGTTGCAAGGATTAAATGAGATAAAAGGTGTAAAGGGTTTAGTCATACTTGACACCCAACAGGTGCTGCTGATGTGCATGGTGGACGTCCTTTGTGTATGCATGTGAGTGTGTCTGAGGCTGGGATCCCCCCTCCCAGCCTCCTGGGCCTGAGCCTCCCACGCTCTGTGCTCTGCTGTAGTGGGAACATCCAGGGCACTGACCTGTGTTATCAGTCTCTGGTGGCCTGGGTAGGGGGTCTGGCAGTTCTGCCCTGGTTCTCATGCAGGAAATATTAAATATTTACATTTGCAGCTCTTCAGCTCAGCATCAGAGCTGTAGTCCCAGGCTCTGGGGGCAGGGGGTGGTTACCAAGCTTCCTCCCTCCTCTATCCCACCGGCCTCTCCCCCTCCCCAGCTCAGAGGTTCGCTGCTGGACCCTAAGCTCCTCCTCGGACTTCTTGTGCTTGCTGTGAACCTCGAGGGACTCGGACTGGGCTGTGACAGGTGAGAGGGCAGGAGGGCAGGTGAGGCTGATTCTGTCTGCTGAGAGATCCGGGCTTCCTGGTCAGCCCGGGCTGAGAGCCAAGAAGGTGGCAGATATTACACACCCTCTGGGTCCAAGAGGTCGGTCCATCCTGTGGTGGGGGCCTGGTGTTTTTGCAGGGGCAAGGAGAAGACCTGTCTCTGCCCTTGGGAGCTCCTGCCTGGCATGTGAGCACAGTAGTGAATATGCCTTTCTCCAGCTCAGAACCCTTTATGGCTCCCACATGACTCAGAGTTAAGCCCCAAGTCTTCCTTGTAGCCCACAAGGCTCTGTCACTTCCCTGCCCTCCCCTCCTCCAGCTCTCCTCTTTGCTCACTCTGTTCCAGCCTCATAGGCCTCCCTGCCCTTCCTTGGGCACATCTAGCAAGGTCCCACCTCAGGGCCTTTGCACTTGCTGTCCCTTCTGCCTGTGATGCTCTTCCCCTTCTTTTTCTTCTGGTCTTTGCTCCAGTGGCATCTTCTCGGTGAGGCTTGATCCCTGTTTAAAACGCCCCCATCTCAGGACTCTGTTTAAAACGCACCCCCTCCCTTGATGGAGTGTTTTCCTAAACCTTTATCACCCTCCAACCTGTTTTCCCAGAGAGGATGTCAGTTTCACTTCGGGAGGGATTTGGTCTTGAGTTGGTCCACGGCTGTGTCCCCATCACCTGGAACAGCTCTTGGCAAACCATAGGTGCTCACAGAGTGTTTGTTGAATGTGATGGAGGCAATGTGTGTGACGAAGACTTTGGGACATGTGCATAAGTGTAGCCACCGGGACATGTGCAGGTTTGGAAACAGGAACTTGGTGCAGACAGGGGTGACATATGGACACGAGATGTGTTCTGAGCATCAGCAAGCGCATGCAGGAGGCATGTGTCCCTGAGAGGCTGTGAGTATGGGAACCCCAGGAATTAAGGCAATGGGGGCCACGTTTGGACCCTGAAGGGCTGGGGGTAGGTGGCCACAGGTACACACATTCAAGCAAAGACAATTGTAGGAGCTCACCTGTGTGGGCTGGGGACCACCTGTGGGCGAGCACAGCAGACTGGGGTATGTGGGTGTTGGGTGGGGGCATTAGGCACTGTTTTAGGTGCTGGGGCAGAGTAGTGGACAAAACCCAGACTCAGCCTCTGGGAGCTGATGTTTCAGTGGAGGAATTCACATCATAAACCATGGCAAACAAATGAGGCAATTTCAGAGTGAAGACCGGGAGAAGCAGTGCCCAGGAGGGGCAACTCTATATGGGGTAGTCACGGGGATTGGAGTGGGGCTTCTGAGGACAGATATCTGAGCTGAAACAGGAATAAGGAGTGAGAAAGTCAGGTCAAAACTCGGGGAAGAATGTTCCAGACTGAGGAAACAGCCCGTGCAAAGGCCCTGAGGCAGGATCATGCCTGGTGTGTCTGAGGAACAGCAAGGAGGCCCACGAGGCTGGAGCAGAGTGAGCAGGGCCTTGTGGGCCGTGGGGGAGGGCTTGGGCTTTTCTTCTGAGTGTGGTGGGAGTTGTGGAGGTCCGGAGCAGAGGAGGGAAGCATCTGGATTTGGGAGTTCACAGCCATTCTCTGGCCATTGTGGAAGAACCAGCAGAGGTTTAGGACTGAAGACTGGAGACCAGGGAGGAAGCGGCTGTAAGGAAATCCAGGTGTTGTGAGTTGAGATCACAGCAGTGGGTAAGGATGGGGAACGTGGAGGAATTCAGGGTGTAAACAGAATCGCTGACAGGCCTGACTGATGGGTTGGATCTGCTGTGATCCAACCAAGAAAGAGACATGGATGCCTCTGGGATTTCGGTCTGAGGACGTGGCAGATGTGGGAGGGGGGGCGCTAATTTAGTGAATTAGTGAGACTTGCCCCTCACCCCCACCTACCCATTCTCCACCTGCTTCTGCTCCAGCTACCACAAGGTTCCTTTAATACACAGTCATGGTCCTGAATCAGGGCCTTTGCACTTGCTGTTCCCCCTGCAAGAGACCCTGTCCTCCCCCAGACAATCCCATTGCTTCCTCCCTCAGGTCTGTCTTCAAAATGTCACCTCCTGCAGGTCTTCCCTCCTCCCAAATTGTCCCTGCACAGATCTCCACATCTTTCCGCAGTTTTATGTCACTTTAGCACTTAGCATCTCTAACACATTCTATTAATCCTATAGTTCATTTATTTTGTTTTTTACCCACCAGGGCAGGGATTTTTGTGTTTTGTTCCCAACTGTATTCTCCGCGCCTAGGACTGAGGACTGCACACAGTAGGTGATCAATGAATCCTTGCTGAATGAATAGCACACCAGACATGGGAGTCCCCGGACTCCTGACCTCAGTGTAAAGGCCAGGGCGGGATCCCACGGGGAGTCTCCAGCTTCGGGAGTCGGAGACAGGGATGGAGGCGGGCGTGGGTGGCCCCGGAGCCACGCAGCGGTAAACCTGCGCATCCCCGCGTGGGAGCAGATGGGTCTGGCCCGGCCTGACAGCCGGGGGTCTGGTCTGCGCTGGCGGGGTCCCCCATTCCCGTTCGTCCTCTGCCTGCAGGTCTGCCATGTGGGCGCCCCGGCTACGCACGCTGCAGCTGCTGCTCCTACTGGGCTTATCATGGGCGCGGGCGGGCGCTCCGCGCTGCACCTACACTTTCGTGCTGCCCCAGCAGAAGTTCACCGGAGCCGTGTGCTGGAGCGGGCCGGTGGCCGCGCGCCCGGCGCCCGAGGCCGCGAACGCCAGCGAGGTGGCGGCGCTGCGCATGCGCGTGGGCCGGCACGAGGAACTGCTGCGCGAGCTGCAGCGGCTGGCGGCCGCCGACGGCGCGGTGGCCGGCGAGGTGCGCGCGTTGCGCAAGGAGAGCCGAGGCATGAGCGCGCGCCTGGGCCAGCTGCGCGCGCAGCTGCAGCACGAGGCAGGCCCGGGGTCGGGACCAAACCCGGGGGCGGAGCCCGCCGCCCTGCTGGCACTGCTTGGGGAGCGCGTGCTCAACGTGTCAGCCGAGGCGCAGCGCACCACCGCCCGCTTCCATCAGCTGGATGTTAAGTTCCGCGAGCTGGCGCAGCTTGTCACCCAGCAGAGTGCGCTCATCGCCCGCCTGGAGCGTCTGTGCCCCGGGAGCATGGGCGGGCAGCAGCAGGTAACCCCGAAGTACCCCCAGAATCGCAGCCACCTCCTGTGCGCTTGACCTGTTAAGTTGGGCCTCTGCATGCAGTTCTGAAATCTGAAAAGCTCCAAAACCAGATTCCCTCTCCTCATTTGGGTCAAAAGACAACTTGTGTATATTTAAAGTCTTCACTTAGCCACTTACTATGAACATTCTTAGGACGCTAATCAAGCATATTAGGTGTATAAAGACCACAGACCCAACGTTACGGAGGTGTCAGGTGATCGACAGATGGGCCCCCTTTCACTGTTTCTAACCCGTGCCGTACTATTTTGAATTCTGGAACAATGGGTGGCCCTGGGTTTTGAATAAGAGATTGTTGCTCAATCCCAGCTCATACCTTACAGGATGGGTCACTCAATTAATACTCGTTGCTGGAAGTAATTATCTCTACAGAAAAGGAATTGGAAGCAGATTGATTCAGCTCGAACACCAGAGTGGAAATTTAAGCCCAGCTTTGTCTGCCCTTGACAGCTAGTTAGGTTTTGGGACAAGTCGGTCCTAGGACTGGGAAATGCCCATCTGACTCCCTGTCCACTGGGTACTGGGAGATTTAGGAACTCAGTGAGGATTAGTTTGATCACATCTGACTTTCTTGGTCACCCCAGGTCCTTCCACCACCCCTGGTGCCTGTGGTTCCGGTCAGTCTGGTTGGTGGCATTAGTGACGCCAGCAGGCTAGAATCAGCCTCAGAGCCCCAGAGAGATCAGACCCTGAGACAGCAGGGGCCCTTGGCCTCTCCCACGCCCGCAGGGCACCCTGCTGTCCCCACCAAGCCAGCAGGTAAGACAAGGGTAGGGCTGTTGAGGGTGTGTGTAGCCAGGGAATTCCCAGAGTGTGTAGAGGGAAATGGGAATGAAGAATTTAGTGGCAGACGCCTCTCATGGTGGACCTGGAGAAAATGATGCCTTTTTTATCCCGGTGACAGAACAGGGAGCTCTTGCTCTTACTCTGATAGAGACTAAAATTCTTAAGACGGTATGAAACGGGAAAGGAGGTCCTTTTGTTCCGATGAGGGGATAGGGAATCTAGGACCGCTACTAGTTCACTAGTGTCATTTTCAGGATATGTTGTCTGGTGATACCACAAAACCAGGATTTAAGAACCCCAGGTTCTGTATTTGCTCTAGTGAGAGAAGGGTGAACCAGTGTTACTCAGTAAGGAAATGGCTGTTGGTGCTCTTATTTTGGTGAAGGAACAGAAAAGACAGGACTGCTATTCTGGTGAGGGGATGAATGAGAATCAGGACTCTTACTCCAGTCAGGGTGGGTTGGTCCTGGCTGTGCCTTCCCTGTGTCTCTGTGCCCACAGGCCCATGGTGGGATTGTGCAGAGGCCCAACAGGCAGGCCATGGGCAGAGTGGAGTGTACCAGCTGCGACTGGGCCGACATGTGGTGTCAGCATGGTGTGAGCAACAACTGGAGGGTGGGGGCTGGACTGTGATCCAGAGGCGGCAGGATGGCTCTGTCAACTTCTTCACTACCTGGCAGCACTACAAGGTGGGCATGGGTGGGCAGGGGCCAGGCTGGGCAGGGGAAGGGGGCCTGCTTCTGACCACTTGACTTTCCTGCCCTGCCAGGTGGGCTTTGGGCAGCCTGATGGGGAATACTGGCTGGGCCTTGAGCCCGTGCATCAGCTGACCAGCCGTGGGGACCATGAGCTACTGGTTCTCCTGGAGGACTGGGGGGGCCGTGAGGCACGTGCCCACTACGATGGTTTCTCCCTGGAGCCTGAGAGTGACCATTACCGCTTACGGCTTGGCCAATACCATGGAGATGCTGGAGACTCTCTTTCCTGGCACAATGACAAGCCTTTCAGCACTGTGGATAGGGACCGGGACTCCTATTCTGGTAAGGAAAGCTTATTTTGGTAGTGGGAGTGAGAGGGGAGATGGGATTCCTAGCAAGGGAATGATAGTGAGTGCAGTAAGGCTTCCCTCTGGTAAGGATCAGGGTAAGAAAGAGAACAAAGAAGACTTTTATTCTGGCGAGGGGATGGAAAGCCAGATTCCTTCTTTGATGAGGCAATTCTTTCCCCATAGTCATGATTTCTGTTCTGGTGAAAGGCAGGAGGTGAGAACTAAGACTCTTAGTCTTGAAAGGAATTAGAGAAGATTCCCTCCCTCCCCCATAAAGGGATGAGAGGTAGAGCTCCTAGTTTGCAGATAGGGGAAAGGTGTGACTTGCACTATGGTAAGGGGATAGGGAAGGAGTTAAGACTATTGCTCTGGAAAAGAAAATGGGGCCAGGACTCTTATTCTGGTGAGGAGTTAAGAGGATCAGAGCTCTTATTTAATAAGAGTGAGAAAGGCTGGGGATGCCTGGCAAAAGCCTTATGCTAATGAGTGCTGGTAGGAGCTTTTATTCTGGTGAGAGGACATGGACTCTCTCTTCCCTCAGGTAACTGTGCCTTGTACCAGCGGGGAGGCTGGTGGTACCATGCCTGTGCCCACTCCAACCTCAACGGTGTGTGGCACCGTGGTGGGCACTATCGCAGCCGCTATCAGGACGGTGTCTACTGGGCTGAGTTTCGTGGTGGGGCTTATTCCCTCAAGAAGGCTGCCATGCTGATCCGGCCTCTGAGGCAGTGACCATCTGTCCATCGGCCCCCCAGGTCCCCGGGGGTGTTTGTCAGCAGGAACCCAAGTTGTCCTGGCCGCACCTCCTTCATGGCTTAGTGTGGGCCACGTCCTAGACACCTTCCCATTGTGGATCCGCTCCCTAGGGCCCTGGACTCGGGACCCCGGAATCCCCCTGCCAGTATCTTGGACCCAGATGGCTCCCCAAGGGCATTCGGATCTCGGTTTGAGCTCATATTTTATAACAACACAAAATATCCACAGACCGTGTCTGGTTTGCATCTGCACCTGGCAGGGGTCACTCCCCGTGCCCGCCCTCCTCCTCCTCCTCCTCTTCCTCCTCCTCCTTCAGGTCCTCCAGGATGAGGTTGTCCAGGTCTTCCAGGAGGCCCCCCTGGCTCAGGCAGGTGGCCACAGTGGAGCCACTGCTGATATGGGGGTTACTGGGGTGTAGGACTTTAGGCAGGTGGTTCTGCTTCCGGCTCTTCGGGTGCGCACAGGATGTCCCAGGCACGTGGGGCTCTGGGGAGGGAGAGGTTCTGAGGTCATGGGGCTTGAGGCCACGTGAGACGTGGGGGGGTTGGTAAGGGAGCTGAGGGGATGGGGGACTCCAGAGGGGAGGGGCTGAGGCCACAGGCTGTGGGGCCACAGCTACCGGAAGTCCAGATGTGAAAGTGACAGGTGTTGAAAGCCACAGGGGACTGGGGGACATGGGTGTCGCCTGAGATCGCAGGGGCAGGGGTCATGGGGACACTGGAGTGAAACCACAAGCCTCATAAGCAAGACCATGAAAGGTGGTGATGCCATGAGAGGTGGGTGTTAGGAGGGCCAGGGGTCCTGGGTTGGAGGCCATGGCAACTGGGGCCATGGGAGATATGAAGGGCGGGGCTGATGCCCTGGGAGGTGAAGTGGCCTGGGGAGATCTTGGTATCATGTGCATCCCCTCCCCAAACACCAGGCCCTCACCTCTCCGGTTGTAGCAGTCCTCTGCGGAGCAGGAGTGGGTGTGAGTGCTGCGGCGGTCGGTGTCCCGGTCCCAGCGCGGAGGGAGGATCCGCGTCGGATACACGGGGAAGCCGCACCCGTAGCAGGGGGATGGAGACCCCATCTGTGCCCAGCCCCTGGGGGCGGGCAGGGCCGTGAGGGTCCGAGGGTGAGGCTGGGGCGGGGCCAGGGCGGAGGGAAGGGTGGGGCTGGGTGGGGAAGATCGAAGCTGGGGTGGGGGGTCAGCACCCTCACCGGAAGTTATGCCGACACTTCGGGCAGTGGAACTCAGCCACTCCCCACATCTTGTCACACGGCACCGGCTCATAGCGCTTCCGGCACTTTCTGCACCGGGACACCTGAGGGGTGTAGACAAGGGAGCTGGCTGGACGTCACAGGTGCGCACTGGTAGCTTGCTGTCAGCCAGAGTGGGGATATTTACACCACAGGAACTGGCAAACGCTACAAATCTGGATTTCCTCTCCTCGTCCCCCAAGAAGAGCTGGTTGTGAAGCATTTACCAGAAGCACACCACTGGTCAGGGGGTTAAGAACCCAGATTTGGGGTTGTGGTTTCAGGGTCAGGTTTGATTTCTGTGGTGGCTGTCCCACTATGGAGTCAGAGGTCAGGCATTGGGATTAAGGGTCGAGCTTCTCAAGTTGAAGATCAGAAGTCCAGCTCGGGTTGGGGTCTGGGGTCTGAGATCGAGGTTGGGCTCTGAGGTTGAAGGTCACAGCTTGGGCTCTCCGGGGTTGATATTTCTTAAGGTCAGAGGTTCAGACCCTGGGATAGGGGTGGGCGATCACCTCCTTCCGCTGGGGCACTCGGCGCCACCAGACGTGGTCACAGGAAGAGCAGGCAAACTGCCGGTCCACCGCGGGGATGAGGTCCTCCTGAGCCCGCTGGAACATGCGTAGGTTGGCTTTGGTCAGCGGCAGGAGGGAGGTGGCCACTGCCTGCAGAATGGGGCAGGTGGGGATAACAGGGTGGTCACCCCTCTCCCTACAGGCGCACCTCTTTCTGTCTCTACGATGTCCTTCCTCCTCACCTGTGGATGTCCTCCCAACTCCAGCTCCCCTTTCCCCACACCCTAGACTCACCTGGATGTCTCGGTCCTGCTTCATGTCTTCTGGCGGGTCCTGCATGGAAACACCAGGGGCAGAAACTGAGGATGCGGCCCGGACCTCTTTTCATCCTTATTTGTTGAGGGGCAGGGCTCCTGGATGGGGAGGCAGGGTCCCAGTCCCACACATAAGGGTGCCCCTAATTTACGGGGAGCTGATTGAGCAGCACTCATCTTTTGAGAGCATGACCCGTTATCTCACAGCAGCCTGAGAAGTGGGCACACCTGTGATCCCCATTAGTCAGAGGGGGACACTTGAGGCCCAGAGCTGGGAGAGGGCTTGCCCGAGATCTCCCTGAATGAGTGAGACAGAACTGGACCCCAGGTTCCCTTTCTGCTGGCAACCACCACACACTTGTTAGCGCTGTGACAGGTCCCTTCCTGTGCCATGCTTCATTCAGCTAAGTGCTGGGGTTCTGGGTTCTAATCCTGACTCCACCACTCCCAGATGTGGGAGCATGGCCACACCACTCCCCCGGAGAGCCCTGACAGTGACTCCAGGTGGCCAGGATGCAAATCCCAGCTGCTGCCTGCTTGCTGTGTGAACCTGGCCAGTGACTTGATCACTCTGTGTCAGTTTCCTCGTCTGTAAAACAGTAGGATGTGTCTCATAGGGTCGCTATGGCAATGAAATAAGTCAACATGTATAAAATTCCTGGGATCCTGCTGCAGGGGAAGTGCTTAATTACTTTGCTATTATTTTTACCATGCCATAGTATGTGTAAATGTAAAAAGTATAATGCATTCTTTATTATATTCTTTAGTAATTACATGGGCCTTTCAAGACAGGTGAAATTCACACTGCACCAGCCACCAAAGCAAAGCCATCCTTGGGTTGCAGTGGCCGTGCTGAGCCTATGCCTCTAAGGCTTTCATGCATTCATTCATTCATTCGCCAGACAGACTCCCCTGCCCCCTCTCCCTCCCCCATCTCCGGCTCATCTTAGCCTGTTCCTTTGCCCATGCCATTCCCTCCTCCAAAATGATCTTTTCTGACCCTTCCCCTATCCAGGACTCACTGCTCCCAGCCCTGAAAAGCTGGCACCACCCCCTCCAGGACGCCTTCCCTGACATCTAGGGCTCCTCAGTCATGGCTTTAATTCTGCTTTGTCTCACTGCTTAGTTTCACACCTCTCTTCTCCCTTTAAGGCCATTAACATGTAATGAGCGCCTACTGTTTGCAGGCTCCCTGGCCAGACTTGCCTGAGAGGTGCATTAGTGAATGTGCACAAGGAGTCTGTGGGCTGGTAGTGCACAGAAGTTGCTGATTGCATGGCCGGGAGCCCTCTTCTCCCGCCCTTTCCCCCTCCTTTGGAGGGAGGGGGCAGTTTACCTGAGCATCCAGGTCATTACTGAGTTCCTGTCCATCTTTCTGCTTTACCCCTGGTCAGGAGAATAAGTGTAAGTGAAGGGACTTGATGTATCTTGGGGTTTCAGGGTCCTAAGAGCCCCAATACAGGCCCTCCCCATCAGATGATGCCCACGCCACTTCCTACCCTCCACGCTCCCGGGCGGGCAACCCCCATCGGGCGGGGACCCTCGCCTGCTCACCGTACACTATGGAGCGCCCCACTCCGGTGTGGTCGCTGCCAAATTTCCTCATCAGAGTCCCCGCCTTCTTGGAGGATACCTTCCCATGAAACTTCTCCCGGAGGCGCCGGACGCTCTTCTCTAGCTGGGGTGGGCACCGGGGGGCTCCGATGGGGGAAGGAGACCGGCGCCCACCCCTCCCCCACCTTGAGGCATCCTTCTCCAGCCCGAACTTGACCCTTGGTTTTAGCCTCCGCAACAGCCCCCGCCCCCGCCCGGCCCACTCCATCCTTCTAGGGCATTTCCTGGAAAAAGCCAAAGTCCCCACAGGGCATTGGGGGAGGGAGCGGACTGCGGCGCGCGTCCCGGGCTAAGAGAGGAAGCCAGCCAGGTACCCCCTGGCCTCTGACCCTTGACCCTGCAACCCCCGCTCTTCCTCGCGGAGGCCGCGCGTCACTCTGGGGGACGTGGCCATCACTCTCCTCCCCCAGGCGAGCGAGCGCCGGCCAGGGGGAAGGTCTGCGCTTCGGATGGAGTCCCCAGGAACTGCGAAGCCCCCTCCGCGATCCCGGCCCCTCCCCAGCGTCTGTTGCCGGCCCCCGGCCCAGCGGAGCCATCTCCTACCTCTACACCTTCCTGAGACATGGTGGCGGTGGCGCAGGTCCCCGCGAGGGTCCGCACTGCGCGCTCCGCGCCCCCCTCACTGGGCGCGCCCGTCGGTCCAGCGGCCGCGCAGGGCAGGGGGCGGGGCACCGGGCCGGCTCCGCCCTTCCTCCCGGGCCCCCTCTTTCGCTTTCGATTCGGGGGGACTGGGCGCGCTGGCTCCGCCCCGGTTCCGCCTCTGCTCTGGCACCCCGAACCCGGGCAGGCGCCGGGGGTCTGCACCCTGCAGCGGAGCGCGCAGACCTCGGGCGGGGAGAGCGGCGCGGCCTCTGCAGTCGGTCACATGTCCCCACGCTACGCGGGGTCCGCGTCTTCACGTCCCTGGTGGAGGCGGGGCCGCATCCGAAGGCCGCGGCGAGTCTCCGCGGCCCCCACAAGCTTGCACCTACCCACAACGTCTCCCACTTTCCCCTCCCCCAGGAACCAGGCGCTAATGCGGACCTGGGCCCCTTCCTCACTCTGAGTGCCCTGTCTAGTTTCGTCCCTACTGTGAACCTCAGTTTACCCCTCTGCAAAGTGGGAATGATACAGTGGCTACATCTTGGTGTGTGTGTGTGTGCACGCGTGCCAGGATTCCAGACCCGTGGTAGAGCTCTTAGTAGCTCCTGGCATGCTGTAGGTAAACTAGTCACCAGGCCACTGCTATGAACCACGGCAGAAGGGACAGGCAGTCTGGGGGAGGTGGAAAGTATTGTTGCAGGTACAGATGTCTGGGCCCTAGCTGCCGGCAGAATCCGGCCGTCTAGGGGTTCCAGGGAATCTGCATTGTACATCGGAAGGCTGAGAAACCCGTGGGCCAGGACAATTCCAACCACTCAGACAGGGGGCTGGAGGAGCCTCTGGGAAGGGCTCTGGCCGCGGCTTGGAAGCGTCAGAGATGGCCTCTTGGAGGAGGGGTTGGTCCGTGTAGAGTCTTTGAGGTCTGAGGTCTTAGCTCGCTGAGAAGGAAGCAGCTCATTCCAACACCCCAGGATCAAGAGAATCTGGCGCTTTAGGCCGGGACTTCTCAACCTCGGTACGCTTGACGTTTTGGGCTGGATAGTTCTATGTGATGGGGGCTACCCTGTGCTTGGTAGAGGTTGGGCAGCGTCCCGGCCCCACCCAGTGGATGCCAGTAGCGCTCCTCCCCGCAGTCGCGGCACCCGAAGGTGTCTCCAGACTTTGCCCATATGTCCTGGGGTGGGGGGCATAATTGCATTAGGATAAATGACTCCGATGTTTTTTTTTAGTTGTGCAGTCTTATCAATAAAAGCGTTAAATCTCCACTTCCAGGTGGACATTTATTTATGTATTACATACAAATAAGTTATACCAATCTATTCTGTAGATTATTTTTTATTTATTACATAAAGATATTCTTTAACAAATGGAGATTTAAAAAATAAGGGTATCCTAATGTTTTCTACTAAACCCTAAACGCTAAAGCTTTGCCCCTTGGGGTCTGTGAACCCCTGGCAAATACAAACAATTCACATTCTTTGGGACTGAACAATGGAATTTCAGGCACAGATGGGGGCTTCTAGGCTGCACAGAGGACCTGGGATTTTATCTGGCGGGAAGTGGGAAGGTATGGAGGACTCTCCCATTTTAGTTACCAGTGATGACTTACCCAGTGGAGGAGGAGGCCCAGCTATGTCCCATCGCCTGGCCAGGATGGGCAGGAAACAGGTGGCAGACTGACCCAGCTTCGACACGAATCAGGTCTGCTAGATTCTCCTAATAATGGCCACCACGTTGAGCATTTACTCTGTGCCAGGCGCTGTTCTAGGTGCTGCGGACGGAGAGCATCAAACAAAACAAAGATCCCTACCCTTGCAGAGCTGGCATCCTCATGGGGGAGACAGACAAGAAACATATATATAACAGGACAGGAGATAATAAAGTGAGTAAAGGCTGTGGAAGTACCATCTGATGAGAAACCTGCAGGAGGTAGGGAAGAGTGTTCCAGGCAGAGCAAACAGCAGGTGCAAAGGTCCTGAGGTGGGAGCTTGGGACTGCTGTTACCAGAGGTGGTGGTTCTTTATCGTTGCATAACGAATTACCCCCAAACTCAGTGGATTGAAAAACAAACACATCATTTCAAATAGTCTTTCATTGTTCGGGAATCTGGCAGTGGCTTTGCTGGGCTTTCCATCTCAGGGTTTCTCACAAATGTTGCAGGCAAAGTGTTGGTTGGGGCTGCAGTCATCTGAAGGTTTGGTGGGGAGTAGAAGGTCTATTTCCGAGGTGGCTCGCCCACATGGCTGGCGGGTGGTAACTGGTGGTGGTGGGTGCCTCCTTTCCTCCTTGCCTGGACTCCTTGACTCTGTACTCCCAACTTGGCAGATGGCCTCCCCAGAGCAAGGGATCCAGAAGGAACGCCAGGTGGACTTGTATCTCTTTATGAGCCACAGAGTATCACTTCCACTGTCACATTCTCTATGTTAAAATCGAGTCACTAGATGCAGACTGTATTCAGGGAGGGGGGAATAACGATCCCACCCTTTCTCCCCACCTCCTGCCCCCCATCTGATGGGCTGCGCCAGGAGGCACGGAGGGCAAGGGAGCCAGTCACACTGTCAGCCTCCCGGGGCACAGAATAGGGAGCAGAAGGTGAGAGTCCATCCGGCAGGACAAGCAGAAGATTTAAGCAGGGTATTGGATTTGGGCATGTGTAGATGAACAGAAAAACAAACATCCCCAGTGGTCACTTGGAGGCGCTGCCTATCCACCAAGGTTCTGTTTGAGCTTTGCGCCCATCTTGGCCTGGCCAGAGGTGGCTTGTCTGTGCAGTGGTGTGAGCCTTAACTGCATTTTATCCTTTGTCTCTATACAAAGGTGTGGAAAGGGAGAAAATAACTGTGCTGATAACAGCAGTAAGTAGTGCAACCTCTGACACTTCAGTATAATTGAGTCAAAGATGCAACTCATTTGATCCATCCGATCATTAATTTGACAGACATGCATTTTAATGTGGCTCCTATGTGGCAGGCATGGTGCTGGGTGCCTTTTCTGCCCTCCCAGAGTTCATGGTCTTAATGAAAAAGAGAAACAGGAAGGAGATGACATTGCAACTAATTATTTTATTATATTTATGGTCTGTACCAAAAAAGAGTCATTGAGGGGTCCATGAGAAAGGTTAACACAGGGGAACCTGACCTGGGCAGGGTGGTCAGGGATGCTTCTGAAGGAGATGCCTCTTGAGTTGAAATCCTGACACTTTGTGAAACACTGTGCCACATGTTTGAAATTATGTATCTCATGTGATCTCAAGGTAACCCTTTGAAGGGGTAATATTATTTAAAATGGGAAAACAGGTTAAAGAACCAGCTTGGACAACCTAAGTGTCCATCAGTAGATGAAGGGTTAAAGAAGATGTGGTACATATACACAATGGAGTACTATTTGGCCATAAGAAAGAAAGAAATCCTACCATTTGCAACAACATGGATGTAGCTGGAGGGTATTATGCTCAGTGAAATAAGCCAGGCAGAAACAGACAAATACCAAATGATTTCCCTCATTTATGGAGTATAACAATGAAGCAAAACTGAAGGAACAAAATAGCAGCAGACTCAGAGACTCCAAGAATGAACTAGTGGTTACCCAAGGGGAGGGGTGTGGGAGGGCAGGTGGGGAGCGAGGGAGAATGGGATTGAGGGGTATTATGTTTAGTACACATGGTGTGGGGGGTCACGGGGAGAACAGTGTAGCACAGAGAAGGCACATAGTGGATCTGACATCTTACTACACTGATGGACAGTGACTGCATTGAGGTCTGGGTGGGGACTTGATAATATGGGTAAATGTAGTAACCACGTTGTTTTTTCATGTGAGACCTTCATAAGAGTGTATATCAATCATACCTTAATTAAAAAAGAAAAAAAAAAAAGGAAAAAAGAACCAGCTTGGAGGTTCCCCTGATGAGTGAATGGGAGTTAAGTGGTTGGAGAGGCGCAGCCCAGACAGAGCAGCAGGCACAAAGGCCCTGAGGGTGGAAGAGGCTTGGTTCAGTGCAGGAAGCTAAAGGCCACCTTGGCTGGGGTTTAGCAAGCTAGCGGCAAGTGGAGGGAGGTGAAGCTCATGCAAAAAGCAGCCAAACTTGACCTTCCGCTGGACCATTTGAGGCTAAGCTGGGTGGTGGTGTGTTTACTTGTGGAGGACACTGACATGATTGGAGCATGTATGTGCTTTTCACAGTCTGATGACTTTTTCTCTCAGTTTAACAAATGAAGAAATTTAGGAATGCCCAGAGTTGGAGATGTGGCGACATGGTAAATCTCAAAACCATTGGAGAGGGCGACTCTTGGTAGAATCTGTGCTGGGGGCAACTTGGCAAAACTTACGAAAGCATTAAGCATGCTGTCTTGACTATTTCTTTCGTTTTATGTATTCTGATGCTTTGACATCTGGGACCTCGCCAGGCCTGGCGGTCTGCCCCTTCCTGGGCACACACACACAACATCTGTGGGCATTTCTGCACGTGGCGCTCCACCCCACCTTTACTCTCTGTACTATAGATTTCTCTAGCAACTGAATTTTTGCTGAAACAAACATCCATCACTTCTGTAATCAGAAGCAAAAAATACACAATAAGATAAACACTATTACTCTTCACAATCACATGTATGAGGCTCTGGAAATACATCTTTCACAGAGACACCTAAGAGCTGAGAGGTAATTTGGGACTCCATAGTCTGTGTAGTCCTCAGCAGATGGAATGGCCTTTACAGCACAGAAATCTACTGTTTGGGTTTTGCGAAATCAGCTTCAAACACGTTTCCAGGAACCCATTATGTACAGAAGTTGGGTAACTTGTTTGAGGCTTCCCTCACGTGCATTCGGTGGGTGGGGAAATCACAGTGGCCAACATACCTTGGGTGTATCGAGGGCTCACTGGGTGCCAGGTTGTCTGTGGGGTGT